TGGGGACAAGGGACAACGCCGCCCTCCCGCTGCTGACAGACAGCAGCCTTTCCGGGTCCATTTGGGTGAAAACAAGAATTCTTGGAGTTTTTTGTGTAAAAACACCCTGTCTGGGCGCCGTCACAGCAGGGCAGGGCAAAGAGGGCCGTCTCCAACAACCCCGGCGTCACCTTTGCCCTTTGCCCTGACGTTGCCATGGCGACGCTGCGGCCTAGCGTGGGGATGCAGGCCTTGGGGGGGATCTTGGGGTCCCCCCTGCCCGGGGCACCTCGGCAGCAGGGCCCTGGAGGAGCCACCTCCCCCGAGACACAGCCGATGTCCAAAGACTGGTGTCAAATAAAGCCAGAAATGTTATCTGGGCTGTCAAAACCCACCCGAATCTGGGCAACCCAACCTGGGCTAAATAAGTGTTATTTAAATCACATTTAAACATGGGATTGCCCTGGGATTGCCAAGGCCTCCATAGGCAGGCAGCTAGCAGGAAGTTTTACAGCAGAAGAAAATGAAAACTCACGGTTAAAGGAGCGAAAGAGTTGGCATGGGGAAGGTTTTAGGGTCAAATTGACACAGGGAACCGGGGTTTCATTTCATGCTAATTTTTTACCACAGTGTGAAGAGCAGAGGGCGCCAGGCGCTCAGAAATGCGGGTGAACGACTCCTGCCTGAATCAGGGCCCTTCTTGCGTTTTGTTCTTGCCATGGAAGAAGCAAGCAGGGATCGGCAGGGATCCCCCGCACCGTGGCCAGGCCTGTGCGGAGTTGGCATCAAGACTCCATCCTTCCTTGAAATACCTCAAGAACGGAAGGGAAGGAAGGCAGAAAGAAGTGCAAAAATAAAGAAAAATTTCCCCCTTCTCCAGGCAGTGGAATTCAGGTTTTTTGAGGTCTCCTCTGACTCTCTCTGGCCCCCAAATTCCTGTCTTGTTTGCTATAGGCATGGGAAACAGCACGACCCATTCCTCTTTCCAGCATCCTTCACACCCTGATGGATCTCCCTGTCTCCTCCCTTCTCCCGCATCCCTGCATCCCACCTCTGAGTGGTCCCTCTTTCATTAAGCCAGATGAATTTTTCCCCTGTTCCTCAAGAGCCAAGTGTTGAAATGTGACTGAATCATCAGCCTTTTATCCCATTTGTGGTAATTACAGGAACAGCTAATGATGTCTCATATAAATGCTCATGGCCACCTCATTGTTTGCATGGAAATGCTCCACTTCAGTTATTTTTCTGCAAATGCCGTCCCACAGCAGAGCATTACCCAGCATAACACAGGGCAAAATATTTTCTTGCCGCAGAAAATGCAACTGTGGGCAAGAAAGACCATACTGGCTGTACCACGCTGTTTAGCCACGCTTCTTAGGAAACAAATCTCACACTTGCCTTTTGGGCACAGCTCCTTCCAAGGAGCAGAGATCTGTTGCAACAAGATGCCACAGTTGGGATTTCTCTCCCCTGAGAGCTCTGACAGCCTGCGCTGAGCAGCCCTTCAGAGCTGATAGACATGAGTTTTCACCTCCCAGTGTAGGCATTAATTTAGGTCAGGTGAATTGCTCTCTGGAGGCATTTTTTTTTTTTCTTCTCATTGACTCTAGAGAAAGCGTAGTACATCAGGTTGCTCTCCAGAGCTACGCTTGCTTAACCTCGCTCACTTCTTTTTTAATCCTGTGGCCACTTAAACCAAGTCTAAGAGAGAGCAGGATCCTCACCCAAGGAGCCCTTTGGCCCTCAGATATAAATACTTCTCATGCATGATGCCTGTGCTGGACCCATGTGCGTTTTATTACTTTGTGTAGGACGCGTTCCTTAGTCATAACCAGAGAAGGAACAGCCTGGTCTCCATTAAAACTTTGGGCCACACCACAGTCTTATGTTTTCTGTTTTAAGGGGGTGAAGCACTAGCTGTGCAAGCAGACTTTCCTTCAGCCATACTTAGAATCATAGAATGCTTTGGGATGGAAGGGACCTTTCAAGGCCATCCAGTCC